ACGATTCACTTCGTCTCGCTGGAGTTTCCCACACTCCCACTTGTTGGGATTTGGGTTCCTCCCATCTACGAGCCACGCCAGACCTTACTCTTTCAAAGTATGGACTTCCTCGCCGACCAGCTCAACGTACTTCGCCTCCGTGAGGAGGCGCTCGTCCTAGCGTCCACTGGAGGAGGAGCGCCCTCCGTAGGAGCACAATGAGGAGTTACGACAAAGGTGGCAGATCTTGCCGCCACCTGCACTGGCGCAGCACGCTGCGCCACATGCGGTAACCCAGTGAGGTCTAGCGTAACATCCTAGATGGAGGGGACGATCCCCCTCAGTTTGCTCAGGCTGGCCAGAACATCACTAATGCGGCGATGCTTCTACGCGGCCTCCCCGAGCCTGCCAACCCCCAGGAGCAGGCGATCCACCAGAACCTCCGGGCGCTAGTGGAGACCACCGCCGTTCAGCAGGCGGAAAGCTCCACGCAGCGACACTAGCTCGCGGCCTCTTGCCAAACCAGGGAACTAGGGCCGCACCAGTCGAATCACTCCGTCCACTCACCATATCAATTATCGGGTGTGGAGCAGGAGGCCGTGGCCACGCCGCAACCCAACTTGCCACCCGCTCCACATCGACCACCTGTGCGTGAATCCCTCAGGCCGAACCGTGACGCTCATAACGCCATCAACAATCGATGCCACGCCTGGCACGATGATGACATCCATCGAATGATGACGAGAGCAGGTGGCGAGGACACGTACCCTAGGCATGGCGGCTGACTGAACAATTGGAGCCCTAGCCTTGACGGCCTGGGGCCATGGGCCTTTGGTCGCTGCATCCAGAAAGCGTCGTTCCCACAGCGCTTTCGACCGCCCACCAACATCGCTAGGTACACCGGGGAGATGAACCCCGGTATATGCCTCGAAGACTTCCGGCTCGCCTGCCGAGCCAGAGGAGTGGATGATGACTACTTCATCATCCAGTACCTCCCAATTTGTGTGGGGAGCATGTTCGAGCATGGCTCGAATTCTTTCCGCCCGACAGCATCCGCGACTGGGCGGATCTCAAGAGGGTCTACGTAAAAAATTTCCAGAGGACGTATGTCCGTCTTGGGAATTCCTAGTACCTCAAGAGCTACCAGCAGGAGCCCAATGAGTCCCTGTGGGATTACATCCATAGGTTCTCAAAGCAGTGCCACTCCTTTCTTGATGTCGTCGACGCGGACATCGTCAATGCGTTCCTCTCTGGGACAACCTGCAAGTCCTTGATCTACAAGCTCGGCTGTGTGAAGCCCCGTACCACCTGTGACCTGCTCGACATCGCCACGAACCATGCCTCCGGAGAGGAGGCAGTCGAGGTGATCTTCAGCGGTAGTCGAGACAGGGGCAAGGCCAAGCGTGAGGACTAAGGTGAGTGCCCCTTCACACAAATGGGCAAGAAGAACAAGAAGGATCGGCACCGACCGGCCAACCCAGCTTTGGTCACCGTGGCTGACCGCATGGGCAAGCAGCCCTAGTTGGGATAGCCCAACCACTTCGACAAGCTCATGGAGAGTCCATACACCAACCACGCCTATCCCGTCAAACACCTTTACAAAGACTACGAGCTCCTCAAGCGCTTCCTACGGCAAGCCGCCAAGCCAAAGGAAGGGAAAGGCAAGGAGGAGGCGGCCAAAAAAGGAGGCATGGGAGGCAAGGATGAAGACGGCTTCCCTGACCCCGAGGAATGCCTCGTGGTCTTTGGGGCATCCGACGCCATCCACTCCAAGCGCCAGCACAAGGTACGCTACGGAGAGGCATGCACCGCCAAGCCAGCCATCCCCTCTTTCCTTAGCTGGTCAGACTGCCCGATCACTTTTGATCAGAGAGACCATCCTTCCCACGTCGCCCGACCGGGTCGCTACCCGTTCATCATCGACCCCATCATTCGCAAGAAGCACGTCACTAAGGTGCTGATGGACGGAGGCAGCGGCCTCAACATTCTCTACGTCGACACTCTCGATGCCATGCGCATCCCCCGTTCGGAGCTCTGCCCAGTGAGCTCTCCCTTCCATGGTGTGATCCCGGGGACGCAGGCATACCCACTCGGGCAGATTGACCTGCCCATCACGTTTGATGACCGCGCCAACTCCCACTCAGAGGTCCTAACCTTCGAGGTAGTGGACTTTCTAGGGTCCTACCATGCCATCTTGGGGCGGCCATGCTAGGCCAAGTTCATGGTGATCCCCAACTACACCTACCTCAAGCTGAAGATGCCGGGGCCAAACGACATCATCACCGTAGGTAGCACCTTCTCGCACCCCTACACATGCGACCACGAGCATTACGAGCTCGCTACTGCCATCATCAACTCCACCGAGCTCCTGGAGCTCAGGAATTTGGCGACTCTAGCAGTCCCCGATCGCAACAGGCAGACCTCCTCAATCACCTTTCATCCGATCGAGGAAACCAAGGTGGTGGAGATCGACCCCAGCAACCCAACCAAGAAGGCGCGGATCGGGACCAAGCTCCTGGCCAAATAGGAAAGCGAGCTCGCCGACTTCCTATGTGCAAATTGCGATGTCTTCATGTGGAATCCTTTTGACATGCTGGGCATACCGAGGAAGGTCGCCGAGCACGCACTACGTGTCGTCCTGGGCTCAAAGCCTACCAAGCAACGCCTGTGTCGCTTTAACCACGAGAGGCGCAGGGCCATAGGCGAGGAGATCACCAAACTTTTGATAGACGGATTCATCAAAGAGGTATACCACTCCGACTGGCCAACTAATCCTGTTCTTGTGGAAATGAAGAATGGGAAATGGAGAATGTATGTTGACTATACTTGCCTCAATATGGCGTGCCCAAAGGATCACTTCCCTTTACCACGCATAGATCAGATAGTCGACTCCACCTCAGGGTGCGAAATTCTCTCCTTCCCAGATGCCTACTCAGGCTACCACCAGATTGTGATGAAAGAGTCCGACCAGGTCGCGACTTCATTCATCACCCCGTATGGTTCATACTATTACGTAACCATGCCTTTCGATCTAAAGAACGCTGGCGCCACCTATCAACGGTGCATGCAGCGATGCTTCACAAACCAAATCGACCCCCCCCCCCCGACCAACCTGACCAAGTCGAGCGGCCAAAACCAACAATCACCGTCTATGTAGATGATATAGTGGTGAAAACAGCTCAAGCTAGCGACCTGATCGTAAACTTGGCCGCCACATTCGTGAACCTCTGAAGGTTCAGCATCAAATTGAATCCCGAAAAATATGTTTTTAGGGTTCCAAAGGGAAAGCTGCTCGGATACATCGTGTCCGAGTACGGCATCGAAGCCAACCCCGAAAAAATCATGGCCATCTCCAACGTCAAGGGCGTGCAGAGACTCGTCGGCTGTTCGGCCACCCTGAGCCGGTTCATCTCCTGACTAGGTGAACGAGGGATGCCTCTCTACAAACTTCTCAAGAAGACAGACGCATTCGTCTGAACAAAGGAGGCACAGCAGGCTTTGGAAAGCCTCAAAGCATCACTAACGTCGGCCCCAATCCTCGTCGCTCTCGAACGAGAAGAATCCCTCCTCCTCTACATAGCGGCAAGCAACCACGTTGTGAGCGCCGCCCTCATCGTCGAGAGAGAGGAGCCGGAACACCCCCTGAAGGTCCAACGACCGGTGTACTTCGTCGGTGAGGTACTCACCGATGCCAAAATTCGCTACCTCTAGGTTCAGAAGCTTCTGTACACCGTGCTGATGGTGACCCGGAAGCTCCTGCACTACTTCACCGACCACGAGGTCATGGTCTTCACCTCGTACCCCACTCAGGGAGGTCGTCACCTCGAATCACTTGCAGTTCAAATTTGACTTAAACCAAAAAATTCCTTGAAATACAATAAATTAATTAAATATAGCAAACAGATCCAGAAATATACCAAATCTTAACATGGAGTACCACATGTTGTATGTGGACAGTAGAAAAAGTTTTAAGGTCAGAAGAGAAAAAAACTAATTGTTTCATGCAGTTATAGCTCAAATTCAATTTATATCAATTAAAATTCTATAATTACACTTATAAATTAAAATTATCAAACGGATCCAAAAAATTACCAAAATTACATATGAATCAATCTATGTTCTCTATTGCCTATACAAAAAGTTTTGAAGTCAAACCCCAATTCAATGGTCACTTTGACTCCAAATCTTATCGAATCCTTCTCAACGCTACGATTCTTATTCTGAGATACTTCGGTTTATAAACATCGTACGTGACAGATTGTGCGAAAACTTCTCAATTTTTTACCACAGCCTCCACGTATCATATCATGAGATCTTGACAAATCTCATCATTTTCAGACTTCGTTTGCTTTTTATAGAATTTAAAAATAATTCGGCCACAAGTTCGATGTTCGAAATTTCCTTCATTTCCCGCATAAGGCCTCACACTGGACTCAAGAACATGAATATTATTTTTCCACTCATTTTATTCCATTAATTGAATCACTTGTAGTTCAAATTTGAGTTATACCAAAACATTCCTTTAAATGAAATAAATTAATTAAATATAGCAAACAGGCCGAGAAATATATCAAATCTTAACATGGAGTACCACGTACTGTATGTAGAGATTAGAAAAAAATTTGAGGGCAGTAGAGGGAAAAAAGTTTAGGCTTTGCCGAGAGCCAACAAAAAACACTCGGCAAATAATGTCTTTGCCGAGTGTCACTAACGGACACTCGGCAAAATGCTAACGGCAGGGCGCTCCAGCTGGCGGGCGTTGCACGGCCGGCGCACATGCTGCTATTTTGCCGAGTGCCTGATGTTTGCCGAGCGTTTCGTTATTATTTGCCGAGTGTTTACTTTAAGGCACTCGACAAAGAGGGTTTTTGCCGAGTGCAATATGTTTGCCGAATGTTTCCACGACGGCACTCGGCACACAGCAAGTTTGCCGAGTGTCCGATGGAATGCACTCGACAAACCCTCATGCACTCGGCATACCTACTGTTTCTGGTAGTGTTGGCCCCAAGACCCGACCAACCATGGCCGTCGATGCACCCAGTGCAGATCTGCACGCCGCCGCTGCGTCGCCAGCAACTGCGCCTGCCCGCGGCCGCCGCCCGCCATTGGCCACCGTGGGGATCCTCGTCGCCCTCAGCCTCAACCTCGCTCTCTGCCTCCTCCGTAGCGGCGTTGGCGGTGACCACGACATCGCTTTCGTCGGCCTCTCCCACATCAACCTACTCCTGCTGTTCCTGTCCCTCCGCCGCTTCCGGCGGTCGCCACCAGGGTCCGCGGCGCGGGGCCGGGCCAGGCTCGCCGTGTAGCTCCTCGCCGCAATGCTCACCACCGCCTTAACCTGGAAGGTCGGCCCGAGGTCGCGGTGTGGGTTATTATGGTGGCGAAAGGGCTGGATGGACGGCGGCCACGACATTGAACTATGCTGATCTGATCTGAGAGACTCGGAGTAAGCATGTATGTACCCTGGTTATCCCTGATCTACAACAGTCTCGCATGCAGATCGACTTGCAGACTCGACATATGAATGGAAATAAAATAATAAAATAAAATCATTCGGCCGCATCTCCTTTTTAAGTCACGACTCAAAATCGGAGCACTTTACAACAGTATGCTCGTTAGTTGCAGCATGCAGGCAATACGATAATGCTCCACACCGGGCATCTGGACGGACCTGACCCGCCCGACACGACCCATCCGTGCCACACGTCGCCTCCCGCACTCCGCGTTATCCTTCCAGGGCTGCTCATCACTTCACTTCAAGAAAAAAAACAGTGCTGCTCCCTTCTATAGTGCCAGGCTGCTCATCGCAGGCAGCGCGAGGCCGCTCACCGCGGCCTTCTCCGGCGCCCTCCAGTGCCGCGGCGCCGCATCCGCCCCCAACCCACGCTGTCCGCATGACAGCGCCGCTTCCTTCTCCAGCGTGAGGCTGCTCGGCCCAAGAAGCACAAGGTCGCTCTCCGGGGCCTCTGGTGCCTTCAAGCGCTGCAACGCTGCATCCGCCCGTCTTACGCCGCTGCTTACGGTGCCATCTCCATCCCGCCGACGCCGTCTCCACCACCAGTCGCCTAGCGTCCGGCTGCGTGGACGCCCACGAGCTCCCCGGCACTTGGTGCAAATCTACGCCGCCGCCGCTAGAGCCGCCACGTCGAGCCTTGTCCCCGAGCTTCCCTTCGCCGTACGTGGAGCCACCGTAGTTCCCCACCAGGTAGGCCGTGGCCGCCAACGACGAAGTATTGTAGGTCTATGTTTCAGGTGTTTCAGTTGTTTCAGACGTTTATTTCAAATGTTTTCATCTGAATGTTTCAAAAGTAGATCTTGGTGTTGCACATATTGTAAGGCTACAGACACATGTTCCAAGTATTTCATCTGTTTTAGACTTATGTTGCAAGTGTTTTATCTCGATGTTTCAAAAGTAGATCAGGGTGTTGCAAATGGTTATACACGCATGTTTTAAATGTATGTTTCAAGTGTTTCACCTGTCTTCAGACGTATGTTTCATTTGGATGTTTCAAAAGTAGATCGGGTGTTGCACCTTGCCGGTGGCTGACGGAGACCGGCCTACCGCAAAGCTTTGGCTCCTACCTCACGCCTTCCTCGCATAGCGTGCCTCGCCCTCTCCTCTCCTCTCCTCTCCCTCCCCTCTCTTTCCCTTCCCTCCATCTCGCCATGGCAGTTTGAGCTCGGCCTAATCTCCGTACGGACAAGGGGTGGGCAATGGACGCGGGACGAGGGATCAGCTGCGTGCGTCGGGCACAAGCAAGGGAGCTCCATACGGACGGACGTTGCCTCCGGAGCGGGATGGACGTTGAGCGGAGGGGGCTACGTACGTCACGGTTTTTTTTATTCAAGCGTACCACGCGGGTTAGGAGCGGGATGCAGGTACGGGCGAACGGGAGCCGAGTCCGGACGCAGGCCTTGGGCCAGAGGTCCGGGCGCTAGGCTTGCTGTAGGCAATAAGGTTTGTTTACAGGAGATGCATGTCGGGCTGCACCAACTTCTCTTTTATCTGGTACTCACTCCATTTCAAATTACAAAGGCGTTTTATTTTTTAAAATTAATATATTGTTTTTAGTACGTATATCTAAATGTAGTGTATATCTAAATACATAGCAAAAACTATGAATTAGAAAAGCCAAAACGTCTTATGATTTGGGATAGAGGGAGTAGTTGATTTTGAGGGGAGAGATAAATTGCCCGTTCTAAATTGGAACATGAACAAAAAACAAAAATTTGCGGAAGAAGTGTTGCACGCTCGCTGCTGTGTACCAAAAGCAAAATTAAACAATTGTTTATACTGCTAGAACTTTTTTTTTCTTAAATTATTCCCACCATCCTGAAATGTAAAGGATTTTGAATTATCCTATGTTGATCTATCCAAGATTTTACTCTGTTTATTGAAAAGAACAATAATATTTACAATATCAAATTAATATAGTTAGATATATTGTCAAATGTACTCCCTCCGTCCCCAAAAAAATGTAATTCTGGTACAATGTCACATTTTAGTATATCAAGTTTGACCAATTATAGATAAAAAATATAGATATTTATAATATGAAATAAATATCATTAGATTAATTATGAAATGTATTTTCATAATAAATCGATTTAGAGCCATAAATTTGAATACTATTTACTAAAAATTTGATCAAACGTGAATCACTTTAACTGACACACGTAACCCATAATTGGATCCTTTTGGGACAGAGAAAGTAGTTTCTTAATTTACCTCTTTAATATCATAGATGCACATCTTTCTATAAACGTGGTCAAAATTATGATAGTTTAACGTGTAACAAACTTACATCCTTTATATTAGTACAGGACGGAGGGAGGAGAAACTTACCTATAAAATTGTTCGATGCGTGAAAAGAAACAATATTGTTCCGCTTCGATTGGTCAAGAGAGCTTTGGTTGCCATGCATACGCTTCCCTACTGAAGAATGTAGCCACAAGCAGCCCTCGATGCTCCGCTCAGTGGACACCTCCGTCGTCACCGGGGCTGGGATAACTTAACAAGGTCTTGAGTGATGCATATGTATTCACTTCAATTCACGTGTGATATAATAGAATAAAATATAATTTAGTTGAACACATGTGGATTAAAAATGAATATATATCTGTCAAACGAGGCATGATGCGGGGTCCAGGGGATGGACGTGGACCTAGAGTGGACACGAGCATCGTGTGAGAGTTCGACTCGCACACGCGGCGGGCGAGCCGCGTGCCGCGTCTGGATCTGGCCGGTGCTATCATGACTCACGGAAATTTCACGGAAATCTCGCGGTGGGATTTGACTGCGTCAGGATTTTGCTTCCTGGGTCGCGGCATCACCAAGCAAAATCCATCAGCATCTGTAAATAAAATCAAGCTAAATAACTTAGGTCGCCATGCATTCTATCCATTCTGTAGACTGTAGTTCTTCTTTTGTTATCCTGATGAGCACTCTGAAAAGTAACATATAGACTTGTTCTCCAGATTTGGAACTAGTTCTCCTGATGAGCATTCTGGCAGGCAGCTTTGTCATGTTTACTGTGCTACCTGATTTAGACCGCCTTTCTCAAGTTTATTAATAATTAATTAACATCTCGGTCATTCTGACGAAAACTACGCAAGGGATGCACTGCAATTATGTTTTGGATTCGTGGCATATGTGTGCATGCCTCCATATTAGTTCCACCACAAGTCCGCAAGTGCATGAACATTTAGCAACTTCCAACAGCTCTTGTTCCCAGCCATTATGCATGCATCATCATCTTCATCTTGCGTGGATTCCATCATCGATCCCTCCTACTACCTTGCGCACTTTTGCTCGTGTATGGGTTTGCTAGATAGCGAGCGTGTGCATTGTTTAGTTAGGACCACATTAGAGTCAATAGTAACATATACATGACATCATCATTTGCTAGAGAACATTTTGTAGGGCAAAACCCCTTAACATGCCTCCGGACTTTGCTACATACAGCGAGGACCGTGCCAACAGAATCATCTTTTTTGTGAGGTGAACCCCTTGAGGCTAACAAAAATCTTTACTTAGAGCATGTGCATCGCTATTTGTTGGCGATGTACACATGAACATGCCACCCAAATTAGGAAGGGTGGCCTTCGAAGGGGCATCGTGATGGAGGCAGGTCAAAGGGCGGCGAGTGAGGCGGCTAGGGCACCGTCGAGCTGGTGGTGGAGGACAATCGGTTGGGTGGAGCTAGCGGCAGGAGCAAGGAGCGAGTCACCGATGATGTAACCTGAGAGGAAAGGGTCAGGAAGTAACAATGGGGGTTAGGTGGTGGGCGGTGAGATTGCTGGTGGCCTGGGTGGCGGGCAAGGCGGAGGAGGGGTGAGGAATAAGAAGAAATGGTGCACTCGTACATGTATCTACATGCAGGTGTCGGGGAAGGAGCCTCGAGGCTAATAGGCTAACCCTTCATAAATCTGATGTACGCGTGAAGATGTCGCCCAAATTTGGAAGGGGAGCTTAGAAGGGGAGGGCCTCATGATGGTGGCGGGTTAATTAAAGGGCGACGAGTCAGGCGGCTATGGCACCGCCGAGCTGGTGGTGGAGGACAATCGGTTGGGTGGAGCTAGCGGCGGGAGCAAGGAGCGAGTCACCGATGATGTAACCTGAGAGGAAAGGGTCAGGAAGTAACAATGGGGGTTAGGTGGTGGGCGGTGAGGTTGCTGGTGGCCTGGGTGGCGGGCAAGGCGGGGGAGGGATGAGGAATAAGAAGAAATGGTGCACTTGTACTTGTATCGACATGCAGGCGTCAGGGAAGGAGCCTCGAGGCTAATAGGCTAACCCTTCATAAATCGGATGCACGCGTGAAGATGCCACTCAAATTAGGAAGGGGAGCTTAGAAGGGGAGGGCCTCATGATGGTGGCGGGTTAATTAAAGGGCGGCGAGTCAGGCGGCTATGGCACCGCGATGCGTGTGGTGGAGGATAATCGGTTGGCTGGAGTTGGCAGCGGGAGCAAAGGAGTCACCGAAGATGTAACCCGAGAGGAAAGGGTCCTCAGAAAGAGTAACAACGGAGCTTGGGTGGAGGTTGCTGGTGGCCTAGGTGGCGGGTAAAGCGGGTGGGTGGGTGAGGAGGAGGAGGAAGAAGAAGAAACGTCGTACCTATATAAACACGTAGGCGTCAAGAAAGGAGCCTTGAGGCTCACAGGCTAACCCTTCGTGAATCTGAAGGTGCAGGTGTGGGCGCACTGGAGTTGAGTTTCTTTGGAGAATATTCCTCCCTAACAATGCACAACATCAAGACAGCCTCTCTGAGAGCCTCGTCCCTGCCTGTGTTGCGCAGGCCTGCACAA